TGGGGAACTTGAGCAGATGCACAGTTTTGTTGGGTACATATAGCCTTGATTGAAAGCAATTTCATAACTCTGAACTTCTTCCAAGCACTAAATCAGGGTGCAGGTGAGAATTTGTAAGAAAAAAAGTCTGCATGCGACATCAAGAAAAAGATAAAGATACGCTAAATGGTAGAGCTCTAATTTAAACTAAACAAAAAATATAGAATAAAGAAAAAGAATGAATTTCGTTGTTATTGTATATAATGTTTCTTTTAGTATGCGCACTAGGTATAGTATATACAAGATGACAAAAGACTATAACGATAACAGAAAGAGAAAAATATAGAACAAGGATAGTGAATCGTAACTGGTGATACAGTCTGTAATTATCAGCGTGTAATACAGAATAATAGTAGTCACTAGGAAAAAAATTGTTATACCTCGCTTTAGGGTCCACCTGCAATCAACCTGCACGGCGGGGCAGTGCAGAAGTTTCCACCCTCAACCTCTGCCTGTGCAGAACAAAAGATTTTTTTGGTAACCTGCAAACTGCAACGCGGATAAATTTTATTTTGTGAAAAATTATGCAGGTGCTCAGCTCTGACTCGAACGTTGCTCTATCTTTTACGACTTTGATCATTTCTAACAGTGATATAATGGCTACAGCCGCTTCTACGTTAGAATGATAACGATTTTTGTTTACTTTTTAGTTTTCTTATTTAAATAAAGCTTAAATCAATACGAATTTTAGTCAGAAATAATTATTACGGCTTTCTTCATAGCCATGAAGATATGTTGTTTATTTATGGCAAGTTAAAAAAAAGATATCACATTAGAATACAATAGATATAACAAAGTTAGACAAAAATAAGAGAAACCATAACAAAACATATCAGAGATTTTCTTTAGTTTATTTCTGATATGTTAAACTATTTGTCGCACCAGAAGTAAGCATCTTGGCTAGATTGTGTCCACTTCCAGCTGGACCTGTATACTCAATTATAATTGTAGCACCATCGGGGCGGTTACCAGTCACTCTAAATCGTTCACAATTCTTCAAATGTTCTGCCATGTTAGATTCTGTCAACCAAACTTTACACCGTGGACATTGTCTTGATTCTTCGGCACCCATTTGTTTTATAGTATGTACTTTCTATAATAAACATAAAATAGCATGATAAAAAGAAAATAATGTCATAAAATATTCGAGATATAAAAAAGAAATGTTCAAAACGAGAAACAGTTTCTATTTGTTTGAGTAACATAATTCGTTGTCAACTCAATTCTTAAATTTTAATAAAAAAGCTCTAACGAATATTTACTTACTTATTGAGATTGATACTTCGTTTTCGAAACACAACAACTCTTAATAATGATTTTGACCAAATAACGCTTGCTTTTATACTGTGTGCAGATGTTTGTACAAAACCATAGGGTAACACTGTTTCTCTTCTTTTTTCGTCTCTCGAATATATGTACAAGTCTATTTTTTCGTTTCTGTTCGATAATAGGTATGATATCATATTCTGGGACACGATAACCTATACTTTGTATATAACATTTTTCACACTATCGATGCTTTGTTCCCAACGATATTACTTGGGTATTTTCACAAACGTTGTGGGATTTTTGCGTTTATCTGAACTCCCGTTCAAAGTACTAGATGTTTTCTAAAAGTGAGTGTGTGTTATATGTAGTAGTCAGTTCATATTGAATACAAATAAAGTTTAGTTATGCGAACAACTTAATAAACCTAACAACAGAATATACTTGATTGCAGTTCATTTCTGATACATGATAAAATACTATTTCTTCTTGTCACAGTGACTAGACAAAGCGGAACTTTTCTCATTAAATTACATTAATCAGTTGCTTAGGTTACGCATCATCATAAAAAAAAAAAACTACAGCAGTTAAAGTACACTCAATATATATTTATTCTAATATATGCTATATTAAGTTCGAACCTGTAAATCCATCTAGGTTTTTGAACAACATCAGTCCAAATACCGCTTAGCGCGTTTGTTAAACTGTCAAAAAAGTCACGTGCTTCGACACTATTTCGTTCATCAAAGATTGGTTTCAAATTAATTATCTCTGTTCCGATGCCGTGGTGTAATCGGTGATATCCAAGTACTAAAAAAGAGTCATGATTGAAATCATGAGAGTAAGACTGTGGTTTTAGACAGACTGAAACGAATGTGGGTGCACATTACTCTTAGATTTTTTAGATATTGCAATATCCTACTTTGTAGAACGTTTTCAACTGATTTCTAAATAACACTAGTCCAAGTACCGCCAAGTGCTGTTGCTATAGTGTCAAAAAAGTCATGTGCTTCTACATCCACTATGAATTGTTGACAAATTAATTCCCTCTATTCCGGTGAGGTGGTGTGACTCGTTATAGGCAAGTACTATAAAAGATGATTTATTCGACCAAATACAGTAGTTCTTAAAGGAATCGTGCGTCGATAAATGAACGAACGATGGGCTACCAAGTAGTGAGATCCAATTGTCCGCCTAGAAACGAACAGAGAAGGATTGCGTTTCGTTTTCTGAGAAGAGTCATGATTGAAATCATACGAGTGAAACGCGCGATTTTGGGCAGATTGAAAGAAATATGGTTCGCCGTTACTCTTAGATTGTTTAGATATTGAAATCCACTACTTTGAAGAGCGTTTTCCAAATTAGTCCAAATGGCGCTAAGTGCGTCTGACCAACTCTCAGCAAAGTCATGTGTTTGAGCTTCGATTATTTGTGTTGTTTGACCATTAGGTGCGGGTAGACCACGCTCTGTAGTGCCAGCTAAAAATGGAGCGCGAAGTAAGGTTAATGTTTACAAAGAAAATAAGTATGACAACAATTATATGTAGACTTCTTTAGTGAAATTTACTAGTAGCAGTGTAATTTAATGCTTTATATAAAACAATTTTCATAAAAATCTGATGTGAACCCGCATACATCACCTTTGCTTTGCTGTTGAGCATGTGATAAATCCAAGCCATAGATATATACGCAAACACCAGCAATAATCAATAACAAAATGAAGTTTTGTTGCATCCTAAATCAGGTTTGAATAC